GAAACAGTTTGTCACAGCCCCTCGTTTGTTGTCCTCTTCTCTCTCTCTGCCTACGGTTTACCGGGCAGTTTTGTTTGTGACGATATATATATATATATATATATATATATATATATATATATATATATATTTGTGTTGTGACGATATATATATATATATAGGGTTCAGCCTCCTGATGAGTCGGTGAAACTCCGACAAAACAGTTTGTCACAGCTCCTCGTTTGTTGTCCTCTTCTCCTTCTCTGCCTATGGTTTACCGGGCAGCTCTGTTTGATTATATATAAAATTACTCCACCCGTATCAACAGATAGAAGTGATGATAAGAGCATGCACTCCTACCTGTCTTGCAGGGGGCTCCTGTCTATTGATGGGGAGCTATCACCCGCTAGAAAGCAGGTCCAGCGTCCGCTGAGATACATCGTGCAGTTGGTCAAACAGATCGTACTGGGAATCGGCGTCCCTCATCAATCATGCAATCAGACCCAACTTATTCACACTTTTCATGCACGTGAACAGCAGCACAACAAACTGGCGACATGCGCCCACACAGTACACAGAGATATGGCTCCCAGGTAAGTTCACTTCCACTGGCTATGACGACTGAGCGCCCAACATCTCACTGTTCGCACACTGGATCACCCTAGATATCCTACACACGACACTCTGCACACGCACGCAACACACACACACATACTTCTATAGCTATGGCAGCGCTAGCTGCCACTACCCTATCACTATACTACACTTCTCTGCCCACTTCGACTTCGGGCACACTGCAGACCTCCTCGCACAAGACGCTGAGGCAGCACTTCTGCATGGCTTCCGCAGGAATGAATGAATGGTTGTGCACAGCCTCTTGATTTATACTTCTGTGAGTCGTTGGTCTGCCCTGCTTCCCTGGCCCACGGTGTGCACAGTCCCAGACGGTACTTGCTTGACTGGACCGGACTGGCTGGACTGGGACTGCTGACTCTGCGTGGTGGACTTCCACCACTTGCCCACTTGCCTAGACCTATAGTGGGCTGACTTCCGAAAGGCCACTTCTAGAACTCTTTACATGGCMTTTCGGTACTGTAGCAGCTACGACTCTGCCCTTTCAGGTAAGTAGCAGCTACGACTTTGACCCTTCAGACAGTCTACAGCTACGACCTCTGGACTGTCTAGACTCCTACCCAACAGGTCTACAGTTTGAATCCCCTATACCCTGTAACCTACGAGACCCTACCTACCACTGGCGGTCCTACAGGTCGCAGGTTCAAATCTACGGATTAACACAGTCACTGTACACAGGTAAGGTGGGGAACTAGGGATCGAGCCCTGGGACCTACATCAACTACTGCGAACTGGTGAATACCGTTTCACTCCCGCCGGCCTAAATTCGAGGTTCTCCGAGAAAATTTCAGTCCAAGGCAGGACCTTTACCTTTCTGTTGCCTCTCGTAGGCCCGGACTATATCGGGAGTTTTCTCTAGAAGTTCAGATCTCGTAAACCAGCGGTTGTCTTCCAGCTCTTGATAACTAAAATGAACCTTGTACTGTTTATGTGGACGACCTCTACCTCCAGTCCTGAATACATCTTCAGCCACTATGCCATCGATGTCATACCTTCCATCCATATCTGGTGGGATCATAGGCCTATGGGATGGAAACTGATCACTTGTTTGACAAGGTAACAACTTCGATGCATGGAAAAGTGGGTAAGTGTGGAGGTGTGCTGGGAGTTCTATGGTATAGGACGGTCCATCTTCCCCGCCTTTGACTTCCAGAACCGGCCACGGCCCTCTATACGTAGGCAGTAACTTTTGCGAAATGTTCTCTTCAGGCGCAAACTCTTTAGACTTGACCCAGACCAAGTCGCCTACTTGGAACTGTGAAGGGCGACGATGCTTGTTCGCCTGTTCGATCATGCGGTGCTGGGCCTTCCTGAGATTCTCAACAACAGTTGCTATCGCCTTCTCGTGTTGAATTGCAAACTCCCTTGTACCGGGCGGTAGCTTGTGAATCTGATCCCGGTTAAGTCCCTCAAATGGTCTGCGTGGTCTAAAGGACTTATGGAGCTCATTGGGAGTGCGACAGGTTGACAGGTGCAAGCTGTTGTTGTATGCGCTGGCTATCTTGGGAAGCATCTCATCCCAATTGACTTGATCCGGTCTAATGCACATGCGCAGGACTTGCTGCAGGATCTTGTTCATTTGTTCAGTCTGACCGTTCGTCTCTGGATGACGGCCAGATGACATCAACAACTTGGATCCATAGACTCGCATCAACTCCTGCCAGTTCAGACTTGTGAACCGGGTATCTCTATCGCTAACTATAGACAGTGGAACCCCGTGTTCACTGACCCAGCGGTCAAAGAACTTCTGAATTACTAATTATGTTCTGGCTTCTGACGGCAAGGGAACAAAAATGGCATACTTACTAAATCTGTCTAGTCTGATCTTAGGGGAATGTCACGACACCGAAGGACACTTTGGTTGGCAGAAGACTTTAGCCAACCTGATGCACGCCTACACCTGGCCAGGAATGAAAAATGACTGCATAGAGTATGTTCGCAGTTGCTAAGTCTGCCAGAGGAATAAGTCAACTACGCGTGCCCCTTTAGGACTTCTCAGACCTTTACCTTGTTGTAGGTCTGACCCTATATCTAGATAATGGATTATGGCCCCAAAGTAATCAGCTCTCCTACTCAGAGCGTTCGCAACTACGCTATACTTCCCTTTGACCGGCTTGAGCTCAAAGTCATATTGATCTATTTCTGCACCCCACCTAGTGAGCTTAGGTGTCATCTTGGCCTGCGTCTTTAACCATCGCAATGTCTCGTGGCCAGAATAGACTTTGAAGTGCCTCCCAAGCAAGTAATGCTTCCAGTATTCTAATGCTTGCCTGAGAGCGTAGAGTTCCCTCTCATAGGTAGATGTCGCAACCTTCTCTGAAGGCATCCTAGCGGACATGAACTCTACGGGTCGATAACCATTGCCATCGTCTTGTTGCAACACGGCACCTATGTCGTACTGACTAGCGTCCGTAGTAACGACAAAGGGCAAGGACGGATCGGCTACCTTAAGGATTGGATATTCTATTAGTGCCTGCTTCAACTTCTTCATAGCAGACGTGCAGTCCTTGTCCCACTTCCAAATGGTCTCCTTCCTGAGCAGTCTGTGAAGGGGCGCAGCGATGGTGGAGAAGTTCCTCACGAACTTCCTATAATAGTTAGCTAAGCCCAAGAATGACCGCAACTCTGTTAGCGTACGCGGTGAGGGCCAATCCCTAATCGCTGCGATTTTGCAATCTTCTGGCTTAACGCCGTCTCCGTCTAGGACGTGGCCTAGATATAAGACTTGGGTTTTCGCCCAATCGCACTTCTTTGCATTGACCTTGAAGTTAGCTTCTCTCAGCTTCTCCAAGACCTGCCTGAGATGACCCTGATGTTCTTGGAGGGTCTTGCTAAACACTAAGATATCATCTAAGTAGACAACAAGAAATCTATCTAACCATGGCCTATAAACAAATCGTTCGTACAGCGCTGGAACGTAGCTGACGCATTGGTTAGTCCAAAGGGCATCACTATGAACTCGTAGTGCCCATATCTAGTCCGGAAGGCTGTCTTATACTGATCATCAGGATGCACTTCTATCTGATGATATCCGGACTTCAAATCTATCTTGGAGAAGTACTTTGCCCCCTGCACTCGATCTAAGAGATCGTCTATCCTAGGCAGTGGCTCAACATTCTTCACTGTAACAACATTCAGACCCCTATAGTCTATACACATCCTCAACTCTCCCTCTTTCTTGGGGACAAAGAGAACAGGCGCTCCAAATGGAGATGAACTGGGCCTAATCCAACCCTTCTCAAGGAGTTCGTCTAGTTGCTTGCGAAGCTCCTCTAACTCCCATGGGGACATCCTGTACACCGCACCCTTAGGAGTTTTACTGCCAGGCTCTATCTCAATACGATGCTGGATGGGTCGCGGTACTACTCCTGTTGGCGGCTCAGCTAAGTCTTTAAACTCCTCCAGCAGTTTGGCAATAGCAGGGTCTGTAGGCTTCTCCTCCTTAGGCTCAGTCACTGGCCTAACATAGGCTACAAAGACCTGTTCTTCTAGGTGCTCCTTCTTCACGAATCTCGCGAATGCCGGTGCACTAAGGCAGCAATGTGCCAGGGGGTTCTCTACTCCTGACACATGGAACAGGCGGGCAGTCTTAGCCTCGCCTGAAGGGCTAGGGAGCTTACACTCGTGCTCTTTCAAATAGAGTGTGGCCCCGACTGCCTCTCCCCAATCCATTCCCAGGATAATATCGAATGGGAGGCTGTCTTCTACGAGGAGAGTCAGGGAGTGGAGGACTTTCTCCACTTTCCCATCTTTCTCTAGGCGGAAATACGCCTGGACTCCCTCTACATAATCCTCTACAACCATTGTACGGTTGTCAGCGAGGATACTAACTATGGGGTCTGTTAGTTTCTGGACTTTAAGTCCCAACTTCAACTTCTGCAGCGCTTTCCTACTAATATAGCTGCGGGTGGCCCCTGAATCTACTAGGGCCCCTACTCTACCTCTAACAATCTCTGTATCTAGTAATATAAGTTGCCCTTTATTCTTCTTCTTCATTTTGGCCTAGGTGGGCATCCTCTCCTTCAATTCATCAGCCACGCCTGTGAGGGAGATGTCTAGAGAGACTCTAACACAAGCAGTCTCTGGACAGCGATCTAGACACCGGCCTGCAACCTCTGCCATAGGCACATGTGGTGTGGGAGTCTCTTGCCGGCTAGCGCTATGTTCCCCACATGGCCTAATGGTAGGGGCAGTTGCTACCCCTACCGGCGGCTGCCTTTTGGCCCTTGAGCAGCCGTCCGAGTCTCTCTATACTTAGGACAGTATTTAATGATATGGCCCGGGTCACCGCAGAAAATGCACTGACCCCGGTCCAGACGCTGTTGCCATAAGCTCTGGTCCAGACCCAGACTTTCCCAAGGCCTACCCTGGGGTAGCCCTGGGTGCCATCCACCTACCCTATAGGGAGACCTATTCCTAGGACGGTTTTGCGGGGGACCTTGACCCCTTCCTCCCGCTTGGCGGTTTCCTCCCCTGCCGCCAACCCCCTGATCGCCCTGAAACCGGCTCCCTGAGGCCCGGCCCCCTTGGCCCTGGCCTCGTCCTCCTCCTTGCGGCCTCCCTCCAGCCGCGACAACAGCGTAAGTCCTTCCCTGGCTCACACAACTGTCCTCCTCCTCTAATCCCCACTCAATCTGCTCGTAGGGGATCTCGTCCACACTACCTTCATCTAAGGTAAGGACAAGGCTATCCTTGGTCTTTACTTGCCCTAAGATAGTGCGGCCTTTCCATTGCTTTCCTTTGTCGAGGTCTTTGTGCCAGAAGGTAGAAAGTGACACCGACTTCACCTCGAAAGCCACCACTTCACGGCTAAGGGAATCATAAGTGGTGGCAGGATCTTCGCTCTTCGCGAAGAACTGCCCTCGAAAGGCTTCGGGCATAGCCCGATAGAAGAGGCYGACCAATTGGGCCTCTGTGACCCYATGGTCAGGGACAGCCACCAATTCATCCATCGTACCCTTGAGTGCCCTGGCACTCTTCCATTTACGAGCGTGGATGGTCTGGAGCTTATCTGAGGCCTTGACACTGCGAGCGACATCAGCAAATGGCTCGCGCAGCAATTTCATGAAATCAACGAGGGGGGTGAACGATGAGTAGGCCACTGCATCATTGTTGCAATTGGCAGCGCGGACTAGGGACCTTGCGAAACTGGCGGCCTCATCTCTAAGCGCATGAATGACAATTAACACGTGCTGATCTGGGGAGACCTGTTGCAGATGCACATAGGTCTTGACGTTGGCCTCCCAGTTGTCAAAGTTTTCTTCCCTTTTTCCACTGTAGGAATCAGGGAATTTGACTTTGACCGGCTCCCTACGAGGACGCGGCTCTTCCTCCTTGGGAGCTGCCACCTTGATGCCTTCAATGGCGCCAACACAAAAACGCTCAGTCTTCTCGAGGCGATGATTCACCTCGGCTCCCACAACGCCTACCAATTTGCGGGCAAAGTCCCGGAACCCCATCCACATCGAACGCACAGCTATATCCTGACTTTGGCTAAACTCGCATTGCTGTTCTTGCACTCGAGCTAAACGCTCGACGCTCTGCGCGATGATCTCCACCTTTTGCTGGAGGTCTACCTGAGGGGTCAATCGTAGAGTTAGTTTCTGCACCTCCTCTAAATCTTTGACTGCTTCACTCGCTGCGTCCACCCTCTTCTTCTTCTCCCTCATCATTGCGAGTTTCCCCTCCATTCTCTTCTTGTCTTCCATCACCTGCCGCTTCAAAACATCTCCTTCTGCTTCCCACTCCTTCATAGCGGCTTCCTGCTAATCCTTGGGGATGTACATAGTTACCTCTTCCTCTTCACCCAGGGATAAGTTGGCGACCCACTCTGAAATCCGTTTCTCCATCTCTTCATCCTTGCTGCCACTGTGCTGCCCTCTCCTCCTTTGCAGTGGCGGTTCATCTTCTTCCTCCTCTTCCACCTCCTTCAACTTCTCCTCTTCTTCCTTCTTCAACCTCTCTTTTTCTCTGGCCATCTCCTCCTCTATCTTTTTCAACTTTGCCGCCTGCTCCTCCTGCAGGGCCTTCTTCTTGGCCTCCTTCTTCTCCTTTCTCTCCTGCAGGATGGCGGCCATCTTCTCCTCCTCCTCCTTCGTGTAAGGTTGGGTGGAAGTGTCACCCCGGGTTCCTACTCTACACGTGAAAGTGGGCCAGAAGCCCAGAGGAAAGAGGAGACGCCGAAGGGTCCCCCACAAGGAGAACCCCACAAGTAACCCAGACATCGGATAGTCATCCATGGTGGTGTCAGGTGCACGACAAGGAGTCCCACTGCTCACCACTTAGACCTACCCGGACACTGACCCACTGACTGGCTGACTCCCTAAGGACCACAGGGTAGAACCCTGTCAACTATGGTCGCTAGCCTAGACCTATTCTAAGGCTGTCACTACTGAACCAATAGCTGATCTGGAGGCATTTAAGGAGATCCCCCTAACTCGGCAAGAATTCTTTAACATCGCAGACAGGACGACGTGATCAGCTTGGTTCTTGCCTGTGCTTTCAGCCCGCAACTCAACCTTTCCGGCCTACAGTGCCACACCGAGCAGCCCGCCGGTCTGTACCGGTCCTTGGGAGGGTTCGTATCCCCCGGGAAAGTCGAGTCGTCAGACACAGATCATCAGCCTTACTAGGTCCGGTAGGGGAGTGGTTCAAACAGGCCCTCAACACTTAAAGACTGCCTGGTGTGTCAGCCTTAGCTGCCGTTCAGGCCCACTGAGTCCTACCAACCGTTTCCAGCCGGTCAACACCGGTCCTTGGGAGGGTTAGACCCCCCTGGAAAGTTGGATCAGCCACAACATCAGCCCTACAAGGTCAGACTAAGGTTTCGTCATCCAAGCACTATCCTTCATCCACAGAGTGCTACCACTTAGGATAGAAGAGACTCGATGCAGAAAGGAAAGACAGACAGACTCAAACTCCGCAAGTATCGTAGGGTGAGTGCACATCCACAGGGTGAGGGGATAGGCTAGGGGCTTGGCGAGGCATTACCAACTCCAGCTTGGTCCAAGTCTTGGTCAACGGCGCCGGTCAACTCCTCGGTCAACGCTGGGTCAACGCTGTAAGACCCCGGTCAACACCTCGGTCAACCTTCCGGTCAACGTCCGGTCAACCCTCCGGTCAACTCTCCACCCCGGCTATGGCTGCCGGCACCTTCACCTTCGCCACCATTGTCTTCTCCTTCC